CAAAAAAAAAAAAAAAAAAAAAAAAAAAAAAAAAGAAAGAGTGAGGTTCTAATATAATCTTTGAGTAAATTTTCAGATATTGAATTTCAGGTGCTAGATAATTGAGATCCAATTAGCTGTTTCGTTGTTTGGAAGCAAACATGATAATTTCACCCAATCAGCTTGACCCAAATTATTTCAACAGCAGCTGATTCACTGCAAGAATTAAAATTAAAAGGAAGCAGAAAATGCAGACAAACCAAACCTCGCCCACCAAGAATCTGAACTACACATTAAACAAGAACAAGATCCAGTTGATATAAATTTAAAAATTCAAACATAATCAAGATAAATAATTTGCGATATTGAAGGGTAAATTTAATTTACTGTATTAATTAGCCGGAGACCAAGTCAATGTCGCTGGCTGATGACCAAAACTCCAAATCCGAAGTGCCAAGTCAACAATAGATCCCCTGAACAATAATTACATGAAACAAAGATATAAGCAAAAATTTCGCAGATAATATACATAAACCCTAAGGTTCGCATTTTGCTAGAACTAGAGAAAAAATTTTGAAAAATGAGGGTACCAATCCAGGAAGACGTCGTTGAAACCGAAGTAGAGCATGAACTGAATAATACAACACCGTACCTAAATGTGAAGATTCACAAGAAAAATGGCAAAAGATGAAAAACGAAAGATAAAAAAGCAAAAGTCAAGAGTGTAATGGTGGTGGTATTGTGGGGGCCAATTATCAAACATACACGTCAATGTTGAATCCGTCAAAAGTAGGTAGTGTTTGTTTGGTGACATTTTAACTACAGAGTGATTAACAAAAATGAGAAATAAATTGAAAAAATGCAAAAAAAAAAAAAATTGAAAAAGTAAAAGAAGCAATATCTTAATTAGGTCCCGTTTGGTACACCGTACACATTAATGCAAAAATGAGAATGAAAAATATAGTCGTTACGTATTCTACACAAGAGATAGAAAGTCAAATATGAGAACTTGATGTGATGGATAACGATCATATTTTTTTTATTTTAATCAACAATTAATGAAAAACAAACGTAGGCTTAATAAAAATGTTTGTCAGAAGAACTACTAAACATTTTCATCTTAAAATTGATACTTATAAAAATATTCATATTTCTCGATCCACCCAACCTCACTGTACACATTTATTAATGATTTGAGACTGTATTGTACATTTTTTAGAAGTTTGAATTGAAACCCCTAATTCAATTTTTTTGTTGTTTTAATTAATTAAATGGTCAATGACTATTTTATCTTCTTTTAAAAAAAAAATTGATCAAATTATAATTAATTCTTGATTTTTGGTCAATTAACAGATTTTTGAAAAGAAATCGTCCAAATATATCCTACTGTCCTTTTCCTTTTTCAACGCTTTTATTATACTTACCAAACATATTGAGAATGTGTTTGACTTATTTTATAAATAAGTTAAACTCAACAAGAAGTAAATTTTGTAGTATAAGGAAAATATTATTATTTTAACATTATCGTAGATGCGATATCAAATAAGTAATTATCTTTGATTAATAAGAGCAGGTCAAAGAATGACCATTCATTTGGTAGTCTTCATTTTTTAAAGGGAAAATTATAATAGTGGTCCCTATTCTTTTCATTTTTTTAGACTTTACTCTAACCTTCATTTTGTGCTAGCGGAAGTTCATAACCTTTTATAAATATGCATCTGAGGTCCATCTGGACGGAAATTATCCAAAACATCGTCAGTTAATCGGGAAAATTAAAGAATCAACATTCAATAAAATTGTCCAAAAACACGATCTATAAAGATATCAACATTCAATAAAATCGTCACGATAACAGATAGTTCAATAAATTTTTCTGGTCAACTGACTGTGTTTTAGACTGTTTCCATCCAGACGGATATCAGGTGCATATTATGAAATGTTAGGAATCTTCGCTGATACAAAATGAAAATTATGATAAAGTTTGCAGAAAACTGAAAAGGTTAGAGACCGTTGCTGCAATTTCTCCCTTTTTTTAAATAAAAAGTTATT